CAGCGGGCGCCGGGCGCCTCCCCCCTTCCGCGGGCGGCGCGCGGCCGTGGTCTACGCGGGGGCGGGTTCTGCAGCCGTTACTCGGGCGCGCTCGCAGCTGTCCTTCGGGGCCCGGCAGCCCCAGCGCCGGCGGGGTGATGTCAGCTGCGAGCACCCGCCCAGGTATTTCCTTGCGGCTGGGGTTTTACGTTGCCAAGGTACCCACAGCCCCGAGCGAACCCCGCATCGGGTGGCCGCGGTGGGTGCCCAGCCGAGTTAGCGTGTGTTGTGGAAGTGGGTCTGCCGTCGGTGGAGCTGCTCCGGGCCTGCGGTAGCGAGTGCGTGGCCTCGCTCTCTGTTGTTGGGGGCAGGAGGGCGAGGTCCTGGGGGGCTGTCTTGCAGCGGCGGGTTAAGCACTCAGGGCCGTTGCTGCGGTGTGGTGAGGGGGGGTGATGGTGCTTCCTTGGGATGGGACTGGCATCCCCCAAAGAAGGCAGTGAATGAAAGACTCATCTGTACTTACACGGTGCTTAAATGAGAGATGCAAATATGCTTGTCAGTTCTTTGCCTACTGTCACATTGCTAGTATAGATCTTGTTACTGAGTCTTCTTGGTGCGTATTTGTATTTTTTCTTTGCACTAGATCATCTGGGAGCAAAGCAGGACAAGTTTGGGCCCCTGAAGGATCAACAGCTTTCAAGTGTCTCATCTCAGCCAGGTTCTGTGCAGCTCTCTTAAGTAACATCTCTGATTGTGATGAGACGTTTAACTATTGGGAACCGGTAAGGGGCTTGCTTTCCTTGGAGATACTTGGGAATTTGTAGTTGGCCTGTGCAAATGCAGATTTATCTAGAACCTTGTGCTAATCTCTGTGTTTCAAAGAGAAATTTTCTTACTCAAGAATTCAGAGATGGGAAATGCAGAACTGTCTGCTCTGTGTGATGCATATTATTTATTTAATCTCTGTTATAGACACACTACCTCGTTTATGGAAAGGGGTTTCAGACATGGGAATACTCTCCAGCCTATGCTATCCGCTCCTATGCTTACCTGTGGCTTCATGCCTTACCAGCCTTGTTCCATGCTAGAGTTCTACAAACTAACAAGGTAAATCAGATGTGTGAAAGCTTCTTTTGTGAATAAACTTGCCTTTAGTCTGTGTTGAACAGCTGCTTTTTTTGTTGTCAGAGGTAAGAGAATTAGTGTTTACAAAATGCTAAGTTGTTTACCAACACTAACTTCCCTGTAAGGAATTGCAAGGGTTTGTGAGCTGACTCAACAGGATCCAAGGAAAAGTGGCTGGGAAATTGCAGGGAAATGCTGTTAGGCTCTGGGTTGATTGAGAACTTGTCCCAGAGGGGCTGGTAGCTCCTTGGCCCTTTGAGTGTGTGCAGGCCTGGGGACAGTTACCTGGCAGCCATGGGCTCTCATTCACCCCTGTGAGTTTCACCCTGATGCTTTAGAAGGCCGTATTGTTTTCTATGCCAGCTATTAATGACCATTTTGATTTTTTTTTCAATAAACTATAAAAAATAAATTAGTATTTTGCAAGGGATATTGCAAACTGAACTCACAGATGTAAAAGAAAAAGCACAGAACGTGCATTCTGCTTGGGTATCCACTGCCATACTTGGCATGTTTCTGCACAACATAAGGGGTAGTTTTGGTAGGTTCAGTGGACTGTGTTCACTTTTTGTATTGTAAAGGACTTCACCGTTAGAGGGCTAGGCTTTGAGCTGCCAGGATCTTCAGCATCCCTTGGTGTGGGATCTGGGTCTAGAAGAATAGGCTCATTCAGCACTGCCAAACTTGCTCCATCCTGTTCAGAACTTTGTTCTTGGGATGGACTTGTTAGTAATAGATGCATAAGCTTCATTGCAAACCTTGTTCAGGCTGAGTGTGTCTCCTAGGTTCTCATCTTCTATTTCCTCCGATGCTTCCTGGCCTTCCTGAGCTGCATTTGTGAACTCTACTTTTACAAGTGAGTATTTAGAAGCTGTCTACAGTGAATGTTTTGGAGCAGTGTGAGTAGCATGTTCAGTTACTGCCACAGGAAATACACTCTGAAGCTCATGTGTAGATGCATCTGGTAAATTGGGCTACTTCACAGTGAACCTTGACAATATGTGTTCTCATGATAACTTAATGAAATATTGGTCAGAATTCCACTGTTAGGACAAAATTGTATTCTCAGATGTGCCACCCACATCTCCACTCCAGCATTTTGTTGACTACGCTCATTTTCTCAATGATGACAGCAAGCGGGGTGGGAGTGTTGTAAACTGAGCTCTGCTGGAGGAGAGACTGGTGCTGTGGTTGCTTATCATAGTGAATTTTAGTGGAATACATTGATTGTTGCTGTCTGTAATGTATCTGCCAGTGGTGTTTACATCCACCAAAAGCAGTAGCCTGAACATACAGTTATCTTGTCTAAGCTAGATTTTTATTCTTACCTGCTGCCTCTGCATTTGTGGCTTTCAAACTATTACCTTGCATGACTTTTCTCTTGGCAATAGTCTGTTTTTAAGAATGTGACCTGTGGCTTTTTGCATAATGGCATTTTGTGAGGGGTGAAAATCTTAGGTAGATTGATGTTGCTATAGCAGTGCAGACTCCCTGAGATTTGCACAGGTGCAACTGACACTGGTAGAAGCCAAGTCTCTTCTAGAGTTTTGCACTAGTGTAACTTACGAGGATCAGAAATCCCAGGCCAGAAGCAGTCAAACTGCTCTTCAGGTTGCCTTCAGTGGCTGAGTAATGGGAATAACCCACCTTAAAGCTCTCAGGATGCTCCATGGATTGTTTGTGGTTCTGCGTGTGTTGGGTACTGTTCTTTGATATACTGAGGATATTTTTGTGGTATCTAATTCTCTCTTGCTTCCTTAGGGCTGTGTGCAAGAAGTTTGGGCTACATGTGAGCCGGCTGATGTTGGCCTTCTTAGTACTCAGCACTGGGATGTTTTGCTCATCTGCAGGTAAGTGTGCTTAGCAATGATACTAACAATTACTTTGTCCATAGAAACCAAAGACAGGTCCAGAAAGAAGAAAATCCACAGCACTAAAATACCTCTCTAGCAATTGTTTGTTGTATTCTGCTGCAGGTGTTTCTCATGGCAGGTGTGATGACAGAATAAGTGTTGATTCAAATTATGTTTCCTGCATCATCACTCTCTTGTATCTTTCAATTTCCAGGGTGTGTTTGTTTCTATTGTTGCCTCCAGTGTCTCTGCAATGGGCCGTGCCTTTTAAACAGGGTCTTGGCCTACCTCCCTTGAATGTATTTTAATCCAAGGAAGGAGGGTCATATTTTGGCATTGTCATTTGCATTTGTGTCCTGTCCCCTCTGGCTGGTTGTACCCATTTGCCAACCACTGTAAGACTTATAAATCATCTGCTGTAGATATTGAGTAAAGTGCAAAGAGAGACTTTGAGCAAGGGTGTTCTGTATTGTGTGCATACAGAAACTTAAAGGGGAGTACCACAACTTATGAATGCTGAGATTTCCTATTTTACCCTTTTTATGTTTATGGTGAGTGGGGAAAGGACTTTCCCTTCATTGTTTTTGCAGTGTCTTACGTCTTCTCATTTTTCACTTACTTCCCACCAGTCTCTGCCTAGTTGTTTCAGAGACTGTACCCGGTCAGCTCACATTTTCTGCTGTCATTTGAGCAGGTTAATTTTTTTCAGCCTAGCAGAATTTAGGGGGTGCAGCGTTACAAGTGGTAAGCCTGGATAAGCCTGGATGCTGTCAACTGGTTACCACTGCTGAGTGCCACTGAGAAAAGAGGCCTTCATACTTAAAGAAAGTATTTCTCGTCTTGGCAGAACAAGAAAAATAATCCTTTTTTTTTTTTTTTTCTCCTTTCACTGAAATGAGAATCTCCAGTATAGCATCCCAGCTCCAATGGAGTGAATGAGAGATGATTAGCCTTATCTTGGTCTCGTGCAGTTCTCCTCTTGTAGGAAAATTGTGCTAACCCTTTCTTTCCTTGTGTTGCAGCTTTCCTCCCAAGCAGTTTCTGCATGTACACCACGGTGATTGCCATGACTGGCTGGTATATGGACAAGACCTCTGTAGCAGTGCTGGGGGTGGCCGCTGGAGCCCTTCTAGGCTGGCCCTTCAGTGCAGCTCTTGGGTAAGAAGAGGAAGGTTCAGGAGTTTTGCGCTTTGACAAATGTTTCTTGCCTGGTTGGGGAGAATGTAGGGGCTGGAGAGCTGGAGGAAGAAACTAGCAGGGACTGAGCTGCCAGCCTAGTCCAGGATTATTGCTACAGGCTTCCATAGCCTGATTTCTTTGCTTTTGAAGAACCTAGGTTGGGAAGATTCCTGACCCTAATACACTGAGAGTAAAACCTGAGTTGGATGACTGGAATATGGAGTGGAAGCAGAGCCCAGTGAAGTGATGGTTCTCTTCCAGCTACTGCCCCGCTTGCTTTGAAGGGGCAGGAAAACCTGCAGTGGGGAAATACAAAGTCTCCAGTTGATACCTGGTCTCTCTTTCAGGCTTCCTATTGCCTTTGACTTGTTGATACTGAAGCAGAGGTGGAAAAGTTTCCTAAACTGGTGTGTGGTGTCATTGATCCTGTTTTTGGTAAGTGCCTGTAACAATGCAAAGAGGGAATGGATTGGGCTTGCAATAGAAGGGGTGGGTTCCATTAAGAAAATCACATGGAGCTTTTGGGCAGTCCAGCCAAAAGCTTCTGGCACTTTAAATAATAGATGCTTTCTTCCAGGTGCCCTTGGTAGTTGTGGACAGCTATTACTATGGGAAGCTGGTAGTTGCACCTCTCAACATTGTTTTATACAATGTCTTCACCTCTCATGGACCTGATCTTTATGGTGAGTTTAAGATAACAGGACAGGAAGGGAGTCGTCATTTTTCTTGCTACTGTCTTGCTACCGTCTTGCTACCGTGACCCACCAGGTCTCGATTGCCAATCCTTTTTCTGACGTACTCTAAAGCAAAAGCAGCCTGCAAGCTCCAAAGGGCTGCAGTTCCAGCTTTTTGCCGCAGGATGTCTCTGTCGAGCTGGGAATCCGCAGGCCATTGTCGGATTTCTCAGCGCTGTGAGTTAGGCTGCTTTTGTTCACTTTCAAGTTCTGTAAACCGTCGTGAGATGTCTTCGCGACACAGCAGAGAACTGTTAGTAGCAAACCTGCCTGGATGCTATGCGAGTGCAGTGGGCACAAGTGATACATGTGTGTGTTTGTCAGCTTTAATGGAGTTCTTGGCTGTTCCTCACAATCAGGGTGCAGAACCCTAGGAAAGTGGGTAACAGTGCAGAATCCATAGTTCTTTCGGTTCACATCGGGTCTCTGCAGACTTCCTGAGTACATGCTGTGCCTTGGGAGTCTTCTTGCTTATTGGCAGTATATGGCCTGGATTTTTCTGGCAAGCAGAATCTGAGGTTACCATAAAGACATTTAATCTGCAGGCAAGTCATCTGCCTACAAGGGGTTCCCTGGTACTGGCCATTTAGGATACTGGTGTGAACCTTGATGGCAGTGCTGTGTTGTTTGTTTGGGAGCTGCCACTGCATTAGTTATTCATGTCATGTACTTCTAGAGCTGAAGAGTAGAAAAGTATTATATTTCTAGTAGGGCTTCAGAGGGGCTGGCGGAGACTTCAGGGGAGCTTAGGGTGCAGGATCCCTGCGTCATCTCTGTCATCTACTTAAGTCCTGTCGAGATATTCTAGGAAGGATTCAGCAGTTTTTACCAGCAAGGCTTTCTCTGGCAGTGCCCTGCAGGCCGTATTTGTTGGTTCATTTGAAGGGCTGTTTTGGGTGGTGATTTGTTACTTGTGCAGTGGCACAGCAGGGAAACAGCTGCATTGCCATGGTTCTTCATCTCTGCAGGAAGGCTCTGAAGTCTGTTGCTGTGAAATTTCTGTAAGTAAACTCCAGGGTCTGTCTCTGATAGGTTTTGGCATAGGCTTGTGGCTGACCTTTTCCACACTGGTGCATAAGTTGTTTCCAGAACCTCCAGGGACCAATCTATTCTGAAGTGTTTTATTCATATGACATCCTCAGGCTAGTAAAAGAGCCTGCTTGAAATTGCTCTTTAATGCAATGTGGCCAGGACAATGCTGTGTGTTTAGAGTGCTTCAAAACACTTGGGAAAAATAACACTACCAGGGGAGATGAAAGGCTGGCCAGTCACTTTTGGCTTTGGAGCTGGGATTTCCCAACTTTCACATGATGGGAGCAGGAACTACTGGAGGCTGCAGAGTCATCAACCGATATCATCTTCAATGTAAGCATGACAGTGTTTTTCCTTTTGCCTGCAGACTGGAGTTCTGGAGACAAGGTTCAATCTTCTTCTGGGTAAATACAGTCTGTGCAATGAATATTTCCCTGGGGTGATTAGGTTTCTACAGCCAAGGGAAAGTAGTTTCTAAGTGTATAGCCCTAAGCCTGATTCTGAGGCTTTGGGAAGTTTTTGTCTACATATGTTCTAAGAACGCACAATTTGTGACAATTTTTGTTCCACTTCCTGTGATCAGAGCCTTGCTGTGACTTGCAGTGTGATGGCACTTTGGGAAGCTTTCTTCAGCTTGGGCAGAATATGCAGGAGCTGTTTATATGACACCTTGCTCTGTTGAGTCCTGGTTCTTAAATAGAGTGAAAATAAATGAAATGCAGAAAACAGACTGTTTATTATATTAGCATTGAATCAGACTTTCTTAGAATGAGGGCTGTGACTCACGATCAAATTATTGTGGCTTAGTGACTGCTTAACAGCTGAGCTACAGTTCGTGTCTGCATGCAGGCTTTTAGCCTGTGACAAACGTAGAGTGGGGCATCTTAGCTTAAGCCTATTTTACAACTCCTCTGTTTTGTCCTGAGCTGCCCTCACCATTGCTGTGGTCAAGCTGCAGCATGGTAGCTTGTTAAGTTCTGTTAACTTGCGTGTGAGTTTGATTTCTAGAATTGCTGCCAGAGCCTGTTGCAGAGCACAAAGTTCAGACCAGTTTCTGGCTCTGTGTCTTGACAGTGCTTCCAGTTG